GGGTTCCTTTCAGCTTTCACCTTGCCAAGACCTGTCACTAAATTATGGGTTGCCTGAATAAATATAATTCCTCAAATCATGATTTTTGAAGTTAACTTGATAGATATTTTTAATTGCATGGATTATTGGGTCATATTTCTCTGCTATTTAGCCCTAATATTGTAGGCTTTCTCAGGAAAGGAAGTGCAAACAAGTGCATACAATAGCAATTCTTCAACTAGGAAGCTGAATGACTGTAGGGGTATGGATAGCTTTTTCATGGGCTCTGCTCAGTTTGTATGTTGTAACTTATGTCGAGCCATTGCAAGTGAATTTAACAAAGGCCAGTAAACAAAATTGACAAAAATATACACGATAAAGTTGCACATTTCAGCTTGGAGTTTGGTACTATTTCAACTGTCAATTCGACATCGAACTTTGAAGGTTCAAAACCTATCTGTCTCATATTTGATCACTCTATAATTTTGTCTGCGCAAAAGTTTTCATCATAACTTAATAACAAATTATAATTTAGGTTTTGGAAATCATTGGGTTTTTATCAGGAAGCAGTGCGCGCTAACACTCTCTTACAACATTTCGACGGCCATTTTTAAACACCAAATTAAACAGAGTATAGAAATAAAATAACACCAGAAATAAAGTTTTTGGTTACTTAAATCTTATCTTTAAGTTTCTTATAATAGCTAAAAGTAACAAAAACATATAAATTTTACACAAGTAATATTTTATAAAGCAATAGTTTCAGCATACCTTCTGATGGGTCATATACATACGCGTAGCCATATTTGTTTACAATTAGAACGTCTTACCCCCCGCGAAGCCCGCATCACGGATGGGTCCGCTCGATGTATTGGCGTTTCCACGCCCTCTCTCCCTTCGCCCTGAGCCCTGATAATAAATAATGAGGAATTATAGTGTTCCTACGATAACATTAACAAAACATTAACAAAACTCAAAGAGTCAAACTAGAAAAGTGTTTATGGAAAGATCCGCGATGTTACTGGCTTGATAATTGCAGCATGTTCCGTTGGTTGGCTACGCTATCCGTCGCATTGCTTTTGACAGCCCTTAGAAGAGTCAAAAGCTCGGGATTTGTCTTCAAATCATGAGCACGACAAGACTCCGCTCTGAGGCCTTCTTTGGTATGAAGAAGTCCGACAAGACTTTCTCTCTTTAAAGAGTTTCTTGTGTCAGTTTTGACCAGCTTTAAAAGACTAAATAGCCTTTCTACTGCAGCATTTGACGAAGGTATGGACATGATGCAACCAATGACTTTCATTAAATTAGCGTACTTCAATTTCCCATCGAACGTGCGCGTACTTAAACGATTCTGCCAAAATTGCAATGATGATTCATCTTTATTTATCTCTGAAGATTCTTCCAGCGCCTGTTTTCGCCATTCTGCATCAACTAGCATTTTATCTGCGACGCCAGTTAAATATGGAAATTTAACGAAAAGCTCCTGGAGAGATGGAGGGCAGCACTTCACAGCATTCTCAGGAAGAACAAACTCAACAAGTTTATAAGCTGAATCACTGAGGTCAAAACGCGATCTAATTTGCTTTACTGCTTCCATCATGAATTCCAGACATGTCATCTTTACACTTTTAACAGCTCGGGGATCTTGATCGATTTCATGGCATTCATGCAACGTCGTTGTTGCAAGTATTCCAACGTAGACTTGGTCAACATGAACATTGTTGATTGGGTCATCGAGAGGCACAGTGAATGGATCACAGCTCTTGACAACATCAATTTTCATGAAATCTGACAGGATGCATTTCAGCAGCTTATGTACTTCGTCGCGAACATGATGAAGGACAGGATCGGATGATTGGAATAATGTGTTGAAGTCGTTTAGGCGGTGCAATTGGAAACTTAGGAACTCTAACTGCGCTTTCAGATACTTGTTTGAAAGACCTTTAAGTATAGACTCGGTCGTATATGAAGGATCTTTCTTCTCATTTACCACGGATGTAAAATAAAGGCGGAGAGCATCCCACTGTTCGAGGACCCTTCTAACGCACGATTCCAAAGATAACCATCTTGTTTGACCGATTCCCAGAAGCTTGTGTGGCTTAGTTTCAACAAATTCTTGAAACTCGTGGAATTCGTGCTGTCTCAGACTCGATCTGTTGAAGTAAGAATAAATATTCCTACACAGATCTTCCAGCGTCGTTGACATTTTAAGACAAGCATAAGATGCGCAAAGGTGAATCATGTGGCAACTACATTTCACAGCCAAAACATAAGGGGCATCTTTTTTCAGCAGCGAGACAACACTTTGGTGCTCACCGAACATTACATTCGTCGTGTCCGATGAATATCCAATAATATTCTTGATAGGAATCTTCTTTTCTTCGAACGAACTTTTGATTGCGTTGTAAAGGCCGACTGCAGTCGCTGTTTCTACTTCCACCATGTCGAAAAACCGTGTCACTGGCTGCACAGTTAGTTCATCAAAGTAAACGACACATATTCCCAACTGTTTTTCCGTGGAAACGTCTGTAGTTTCATCGGGGATTATGCTGAAGTAGGTGTCGCGTAGTATCTGCACAAGTTCCTTCGAAAAATACAGTCCAAGTCCTTGTCGCAAAATATTGGTACATCGGGTTGTTGACAAATGAATGCCCTTCAATACTTCGACCTCTTTGCTATTAACAGGTGCCGTGGACTTAAACAAACTTACCAACGGACCAATGAGACTTAACGGAAGGTTGTGCTCTGCAAGAAAAGCACATACTCGGACTTCGAATGTTTCCTTAAACAAGCTGTTCTCCTCTTGCCGTCGAAAACATTGGACAAGATTTCCCTGTTGTTGGCCAGGCTGTCGAGATTTCATTGCCTTCTTGTGAATTTCGGTTTTGGAATGTCTAAGAAGAGACGATTTCAAGCACGAAACTGGTTTTTGGCATGCTCTACATGTGGCACTTGACTTTCCAGGAGAAGGGCGAACTAACCAATCTTTGAAGTTTGGATCTTGCAACCACTTGTCTCTAAACTGTTGAACATATCGCTTGTTCTGGACCTGCTTCGGCTTCGAATTTGCTGTTGGAAGTTGTAGTGATTCGTAGTTGTCTGGCCCGTAGTCTGATAAAGCCTCAGAGTGCTCAGACTCATTCGATGATTCGTCGCTCATGCTGTCAGTATCGCATCTGATCATTTTAATTTTGAGTCTTTTAGAAACAACTGTGAACTGGTGCTGACAACGACAACCTCATATTACTTGACATCAATATCAGTCATCATGTTCTGCAAAAAGGCGTATAAAAAATAACAAACATCGCTTGCTCGACCGCAATGTTTAATTTTGTTTATGGATGTGTCTAGCCAATGTGTCTAGACTACTGTCTAGTGTCTACAGCATACATGTAACAACATTACAACAATGCCGCTACAGTGTCAGCGGTATAAAATCGTACTTCCAGGGATAATTGGGGATAAACAAGTTATTTAAGGAATTTTGGGAAATTCTAAGGAATTTCGGAGCTCTTGCTGAGGAATTCCAAAATTTGGTTGTGAGAGCACTGATTAGTTATCACTTGCAAATTTGTCACCTTTTAAAGCTGTCGGAAAGAAGAATATAAATTAATTCTAATTTTCAGAACCTTTCTAATTGTTACCGAAAAAAGGAATAACATTGATTAAATAACTGAGACATTCAAATGGGTTACAGCTGTTTGCGCTGAATTGTTTTGTATTATATCAAAATATTCGCATATTTTTATACAATAAGAAATAATATAAATTCTTGAAACTTTATAGCCTTGAGCAAAATGACCCAGGGTCGGCCTGAAAAAGTTGATTTTTTTATACAGAACCGTGACTTATTTGAATTCTAGTTTCCATTGACAATTGTTTCTAAACCTACAGTTGCTAGAAAACTATCCTGAGCGAAACTAACGCAATATTGACATTTGAACATTTGACATCACAGCGAGTATACATTTCTTTCGGCCAGGGGCTTTCCCCGAGATTTAATTTTATAAAACAGTTAAAAAAAAACGATGAAAATTCTGTGTGTAGTATGACTAATTCTGAGTTTTCCAATTCTATTGAACATTATTATTTGTTAAACATGCATGCCGGTAAAGGTATTTGTTAAAGAGGTATAAACAAAGCGAACAGAGCGCAGTTTGTATAGTATGTCACAATCAGGACTCGTGACATTGAGGCGCGCGGAAGACGCTGGACACACTGGCATTGAATGACTCTATATCCATGAAGCCAAACTGTACTCAAACAATTTGATTCAAGTGTCAAACCAAAGAATAATGACGAAAAACATATATTTACATAATCAAGCTTCATTCAGTGTAGTGTAAGGTGATTTTATCTGTTAATATCAATAATTAGGTTTACTGATAAAGTATGCTCGATTTCGACACATTTTCAAATTTTACGAAGTTTGCGCGCTTGTCATTTTTGTCAAATGGTAAAGCAGAAAGATATTATTGGCGATTTGTGTTGACTAATGTTAGTAGATTATAGAAAAGTTAAAGTCATGTGCCAATCAAGTGCCACGATTTTTAAATAAGCTTTCAAAGTTGATATATTTTGAGACGATATCCGTTATCCGTTCAGGAGGGTCAATAACTGCGCTGTTTTCTACTTTATACCAAAGAATAATTATCTAAGACATACTAACAACGAAAATAGAAGGATAGGTCTATATTTCTGAGCAAAAATTTTGAAATTTAGGTATGAATTTGATGTAAAAAATAGCGCTGAAAATATGTCGATATTTTGCCTTCATTCGGAGTTCAAGTTGGTTACCAGCCGATCGAACTTCAATCGCCCCCAAAAATAATTTAAAGGAAATTTGAGTAAAATGAAATCGATTTTAGTTGTTCCCAAGGATAGATCTTCAAAATACTAGAGTATGAGAGAAATCTACTTTTGAGCCCCATATTGACCTGGAGGTTTTTACGGAGACAGCCTCTTATATGTACAAAGTTGATGACTAACAGAACAGCTGATCAACTTTCATTTAATTTTCAAACAGTGTAAAAAACTTGGGTATGAGAATGATAACAAGATTAATGGTTGGGATCTGCGATATTATATGACAAAAATCGAGGAAACCAAATATGCTGTTGATCAAAACAAACTAAAAGAATACTTTCCCTTGTCCGTTGTAACAGAAGGTAATTGTGTATATTGGTTTAAACTAGCCTGAATCTCTGACAACAGCCACTCAATATCGTTGAGATGACGGATATCGAGTGACCATCTGAAATTCAGGCTAGGTTTAACCATAGTCAATAGAATAAAAAAGATTAGTTAACTTGATGGAGATACAATAGGTTCCGTTTATCTATATGTTTTTTATCTTGGTTTATCAACCAAGGGTCGGTTTATCGTCACGTGTGTATTGTATTTTCACCCAACCAACCAACAGCGATGTTTTGGTTTAATTACGCATTCGTGCTATAACACAGTGGTTGAATAAAATATTGCTATTGGTTGATTTGTCGAAAACAACAATGCACAAGTTGACAATAAAGTGACCGTATTTTTGCATAAACGTTTGTATCGAATATCCTAACCTTGTTTATTCTTACTATTGATTTTGCTTTTCCGAAGAATTGCGCTAGAATTTACGGCTGTGCACAGGCTACAGTCTCTCCATGAAATGTTATATTGAATAAAATCATCTATAATCTTGGACTTGAGATTTTTCTTTCGTGTATGCGCGGTTATGAACGTAACTCTTTCCTGGAGGATTGACAACAACATAGATTTGTGTCGAGGAGCCAAGAAATTGACACCTTTCTTAACTAATTTGTCGAAGAATGTAGGCTAGAGAGTAGGCTTAGCATGCATACTTCATATGTGGCCAAAACGGAAGAAAATTAGTTCGAGGAGCGATTATAGTAGATTATATATACTGAAAATTTTTCCTGATATGGACAGTACAACGTTCGCTTATATACGTACAAAAATGAGGCAATTTGTAAAACAATTTGTTTTAATTTTTAGGCCTACTCGACATTTATCAGGTATGGGGAAAATTATTAATAGTGAGCTTAAGCAAGCGACGTTTTTGTCAACATGGACGTCGCCAGAAAATTGATCTAACTAATTTTGGTTGCATTTTGCATCGTAGCGCTCGTGTAAGGAAGCAAAAAACTTTAAAAATCTTATGTTTTGTCATATGTGTTGAAGATTACCACAAACTGATACAAACACAGTTTTTAATCCAGTTCCACCTCGGCAATCTGACGTCCGTGTTGACAAAACATCACCCAGGCTCTTTCTTATCTCCGTACAAGGAGCAACCTCGTACCCAGGGCTTCTGCGCTTATTGTTCGTCAGAAGCAATACGGACCCCGGGAACGAGGTTGCCCATTCAGTTGCTTGCATAATTTTTATGTATGTGAGTCGAATGTGTGACTTGTCGAAGTTCGCTAGCTAAAAGGGGAGATATCTGACAAAAGGAGTTCGTAATAGACCTTACTGTTTATTCACTTTTGACCCAATGGCCTCGTTTTCGTGTTTGCCAGTTTTGGCATGACAGGCGCACATGAAGGTTATATCCCCATGTTTCCTTCACGATTTGGTTCCTGGTTGATCTTAAGCCCGATAACAAATAAGTTCTTAACCCTATTGTGCACGAAACACAAGTAAATACCTGACATGAAAACGAGGCCATTGGGTCAAACGTCAATAAACCGTAAGGTCTATTGAGTATTGTTTAAATAATTCATGCAATCTTATCTATTGAACCTTAAATTTTTTTATTTTATATTTTATATATTTATTTACAATCTTTGTAAAATGACAGGTGATCCCACAGGGTTATTTCTCCATTCACAAGCTCCCTTGAAATACACATGCATCCAGACATGCATCTACATTATCTACAACACATTTTATCACCAAGACTGCATGGACAAGAAACAACACGAGTGACTTTTAACACAGACAGTTTTAAACGTTTGTGGGACATTAATGTTTTACATAAGTTCACTTATGGCATGACAGTAATTCAGTGATTAGGTATATTTTAAGTTGACCAGTGACAACATCAGCTTCGCAGATATGTGGTGGTGAGCAATTAAAAAATCTATAGGAGTTTGTTGTAAAAGCTATTTTGAAAGGTTAAATGTTGGACTACGCCCTAGTGAGACGATTACTTGTTTTACACTAGTGCTGGAATCACTTGACTTCATTGCCTTGAAATACTGAATTAAATATTTTATTAAATTATTAATAAAATATATTTATTTGCGTTATACGTACGTATTTCTTTAGGAACTTTTAAAGCTTAAATTTGAAGAAATTGTCAACCCTCCTGTTTGGTGTGATGAAGTCCGTATGGTAAATTTGTAACGTTTTTTCTTTTTTATTTGCTTGCATGACAGTTTTCTAATTGTGTCATATAGATTGTCGTTTTGTGTGTTACTAATAATTTCCCCTTCCGGTAAATACGTCGCTTTGGCGCACAAAGGCCTTTAAAGTTTCTTCATAAAAGATTGCTTAATTTAGAATACAAATCCTAGCTGCGTAGTATGCAATAAAGTGTATTATAATATAGCATTTGTAAATTCTGAACGCTGATTGGCTAAGAGCCGTGTTGATACAACTCAAATGTCAACACGGAAATTTCTTTCTTTATGTTTCTTTGTGCTATATTATAAAAAAAATAAAACATTTTTTCCGTATTGATATACAGTTACATCAACACTCATGGAAATTGGGAAAACACAATTTCTCGTTTTCCCAATTCCCACTCGTGTTGATATAACTGCATGTATATCAAAACGGAAAATGTTTTATATTTGTTAAATATGTTTTAAAACACCGCTTCCCCCCGCTTTCAATTATGACATCATAGTTTTCCCCTGATAACTGGTGTAAAGTTCTGTTAGATTTTCTATTGTATTTATATTATTTCGTAATTATTTCTAACGAATTAATTTAAAAGATAAATGGTGTAACTGAAGAATTCCCCATAAAGCGAAAGTCTGAATGACGGAAACAAGGCCCTATATAGCGAAGGCGATGCACTTAGCTATTATGTGAGCTCATATTATCTGACATCAATTTCTTTCTCTTGTTATATAGTTTAGCGTTAAAGATGCTGCGTCTGAGAAACTAATGGGATATTTTTACCTCGATTTGTTTCCAAGAGAAGGAAAATTTGGTCATGCAGCCTGTTTTCCCATACAGGTTTGTTGCTTTGTCTTTGTATTCTTAGATGAGCTGGAAAAATGAATGCTCTGGAGTGAAGAAAGTTTTTTTCTTCTCTAGGCTGGTTGTCAGTTGGCTGATGGTTCCAGACAGGTGAGAAATAATTATTGCATGTGATTATACTGTAAGGATTAATTAGGGAAGAGTCCTCACTTGTTATAATAGTCCAGTGAGTACCACGTGAAAACCTACAGTGTATTTGGTGGAATCAAACTGAAGTACTTTTCCCGTGCAAAGACATGTTACAATTTTCCAGTTAATCACAGTGGTAAAGGGCGCATGCATTAACTACTGTATAACGATTACTTTCCATGGCTTCTTTTTAATTTAGCTCGCAGTTGCAGCCATGGTAGCAAATTTTACGAAACCAACCGGGGACCGACCATCATTATTAATGCATACTGAAGTAAGTGCAACTGGTGTGGTAATGTTTTAAATTGTGCAACACTGCAACTGTGCTGTTGAAATATTAATAAGTAAAGTTTCGAAGGCTCTGTGAGTGGTGAAGTTGTCTCAACTTAAAATTTTAGCTCATTGTAGACGCTTTGACGTTGCCAAGGACGCTCAATTAAGCTCTTAATGAAAGGTTTTGAGGCATTGAAGTGCGACAGAAAGATATCTACGCGCTATACAAACAATGCACACCGTTGGTTCGTGATTCTTCTAAGACAGTTGTGATTGGTCGTCTAAGGTCCATCTATACACACAATTCTTATCCTTGGCGTATGCACGCGAATAAATGCGTGCCTTCAATTTCAAATTTCGCCATAAACTGATAAATATAGGAATTGTTTCAGTGTTTTCATACACCAGAAATACA